TGGGATACATTCTTGGTTGTCTTACTAGCCTCAGATGACCTTTATTTCAGCTGGAACAATTGAAGCCAACGTGTCCAAAATAGAAATCAAGTAGGAAGTAATGTTTAACCTTAACTTGTTAGTCCAGTAAACACCTTTGGAAGAGTTTGCCTGTGCCTGCCAACGAGTTGGCTGTATCTACATGTTCTCTCATAAAACTGAGGAGGTCATCTACGCCGAAGTCAAAGTCTATCAAACCAGTCACCACTGAAATCCAACCCCTAGCATTACTCAACAGGAAAGGGGTGAGTTATAGAGCACAGCAACTACTTCCTCCATAGCTCCTGCTCAGTGAGAATCTTCATAAAGTCCTGCTTTTGGAAAAAACAATTAGATTTCTGTCTATGAAAGAAAATGCCCTTATTTTATGGACAGAACACTTACCCAGCAAACCATCAAAATGGGTCTAGCAGCACTGTAGCTCCAGGCCCAGGCTGGGATTGTCACTACTTTCTTTTTTAAAAAAGAAAAGTCGAGTACCGGAGGGAAATCCACAGAAGAGTCTACCTCTTAACTACTGCATTTTATAACTATACCACTTCCTTATTTCCATCCCCATCTGTTAGGGTATCTGTTACAATGCTTTGGAAAATCCAAGGTTTTTTCTTTCTCTTTTAAAGTTCAAGTCTAAATATCAATCTTAAGGGGTATTGTTTGGTATAATAAGCCCAATTAGTTAACACTCCAAAGTGGTCTTTCTACAGGGGTCATATATTTACAGGCTTTTTGAGGGATGGAGTCTAACATAAATTGACAAACAATGAAGAAAAATGTTGCCTATAAGTCATTTCATCTGGTGCTACAAGTTTGCACTACATAATTTGCCCTTTCAACATTTTAAAAATCTTAAAATGATTTCTTAGAAATTTAATATTCACTAGTGTACATCCAAATTCGATTAACAAAATCAACAATCTTGATTATAAGGCATGGCATTTAGCAAAGAACTAGTATTCTGTCTAGTGATGGGAGTTATCTGGAACTGAAAATAAGGGATTTTCTTACCATCATAAGCAAAGTCAAGGGTGGCCCTGGAGAATGACAAAAACCAAATGTAGTTTGTACAGGAATAAAATCTAGAAACGAAAGCTTAATCACCATAGTTTCAGTATCGAGACTTACCCAACCAGAAATTATATAGGCCTTAAAAATAATTGTGGGCCGGGCCTGCGAGTGGAAGGGAGGCCACAAATTCAGTTTCCAGGCATCTCTGAGCCCTCCTAGTAGACACTGTGAGCAAGGCTCACCCTCCTGAGTTGAAAAAAAAGTATGGTCAAGAAGTTATCAATGAAATTAAATGGTGGCAGATGTGTCCAAGAAATAACTTGGGGATTTGATTTCTTTATGAATCTTGTGATAGATGAACGTTTGGAGATGGCAACTAGTAGGCCACAGAAGAATACGGGAATGGTGGTAATGTGAGGAAATAGTATCATCATGTAGGAAGTCTTGGACAAGTATGAAGATTGGCTGTTCAGCAGAGAAATCCATGTTCTCCCTCAAAGGGCCTGTTTTATTATGATATGAAAATCAGGTCATGTATTTTCATTATTAAACTTGTTAAATAAAAAGAAATAATTGTGGGCTGGATTTCTATTCATCTCTATTTTTTTCCTAGATAGAACATATAACTTTTTGTTACATAAGGAATATCAAATGTGCCAATTTTTCACTTAAGGTATAAATGGCATTTAAACTGTAGATTCCAACAGTAATCAGCATCCTTATATGTACTGAAATATCACTATGTATTCCGTGAATACATACGTTATTTGTCAATTAAAAAAAAATTAAAAAGATCAGGCTGGGAGCAGTGGCTCACGCCTATAATTCTAGCACTCTGGAAGGCTGAGGCGGGAAGATCGCTCAAGGTCAGGAGTTCGAAACCAGCCTGAGCAAGAGTGAGACCCCGTCTCTACTAAAAATAAAAAGAAATTAAGTGGCCAACTAAAAAAATATATATAGAAAAAAATATCTGGGCATGGTGGCGCGTGCCTGTAGTCTCAGCTACTCAGGAAGCTGAGGCAAAAGGATTGCTTGAGCTCAGGAGTTTGAGGTTGCTGTGAGCCAGGCTGATGCCACGGCACTCTAGCCCAGGCAATAGAGTGAGACTCCGACTCAAAAAAAAAAAAAAAAAAAAAAAAAAAATCAGCATCTTAACTTCAGAGAATACTCAAAAGACTCAGAGCATCTAACAACATAAAATTTTAAGAAGAACAATTATAAATAATATACAGGCTTGGTCTTGCAATGTGTTTCTCTAAACTAGTCCCATGATAACGTTCTAAACATCAATTTGCAGGAAATCTTAGAAAATGTATATTTACCTATTCCTAGGTTATGATCCAATAGTTTCTAAGGGAAAGTGTGATATAGTGAAAAAGCACAAATTGCAGACATTGAAGACCTTTGCTTGACTCCTGGCTTAGTCCCCATGAGCTGTATGTTAGGCAAACATAACCTCCCTGAAGCATAGATTCTTCATTAAGTCAGATCACAGCAACTTAGCTGTAAGGAGCAAATGAACTAATTTGATATTTATAAACTTTCCTCAACTTAAGACTACAACTAGTAACGCATAATTAAAATACAGTTCTAAATCCAAGCTCAAAGACATTTTGAAGAAGTTCCCTCAATTAACTAAACACTAAATTTGGACTTGGGCCCAGCATTGCCCCCTACTGGTCACATCTTAGAAATAAACCCCCTTGAAAACTTGAGTTTGCAAATTCAGTTTTTTCCTATCAAAAATTCCCCAAAAGGCTTATTCTTGTTCTGATCTCCAGTATATACATTAGGCTTTTCTCCAAGAAATGCCATTTCTAAGTACATTCATTTAAATAAAATTATAAGTAGATACAGTATTATTTCTGATCTTTAAGATGACTTTTATAACTAGACTGAGCCACCTTTTCAGGTTTTTAAAAGACTTTCCTTAGAATGTCTTTCCTGCTTCCAATGTTGGAAATCAAAAAGAAGAAGAAAAAAATATGAAGGGCTTCTTCCCAAGTCTTTGTTGCATCTTCAGCAAAGGTATAGATACCTTGTCTTCCAGGTGTCATGGTGAAGATTCAAGAGCTGGTTCTTTACAGTAAAGGATGCTATCACCATAGGTCAATCCCGGTTTTCAGGTATTCATCAATTTGTTCATTCTTGGGGTGATGTTTTTTGGGGGGGAAACCCTTCCAAATCAAAAGTCCAAGTTTTATACCAAATCTACTTATTATCACAACATGAGTTCACCATGGCTGGACTTACAGTCCAAACTAAGGGAACTGCCTCTCTCTCTAAAACCACAAAAACGTACCCTAGAGCCACACTGGGTAGGGCACACAGATGGCACTAGTAATTTTAGAAGTCTGAATCTCTATGGGTGAAATTCTACCACCTCCTTTTCATCTTCTACAAACCTTAGCTTCACTATCTCCAAAACAGGGATAATGTTATATCATCTACTCTGCTGGGACGCTGAGGAGGCCAAATGAGGTAATATATGAAAAGCACTTAGCATAATCTTTGGTGCACAGAAGGCATCAAAAAAAGAGATAGGTATTATCCATTAGCTCCTTAGTCAAAAAAAGTCAATTATTGAAGGAGGCATTATATCACCACTCACAGGCATGCAGACTCCTCTGAGGAGTTACTTCCTATCATAGCTTCTTTCTGAGACCACACCTCAAAAATTCTCAATGTGTTCTCCACGAGCATGAAGTCACTGCTGGTGAAATCTGTAGTGGGACCTGCTAAGACAACAAAGTTGAGAAGAGGCTAGTGAGGAGAATTATAAACAACAAAGAAAATGTCTTCTCTTCCAAGTTCTGAGTGTTTCACAACAAACATGGTGCTTACAGCCTAAGAAAGGGGGGAAGTTGTGTGCAGCGACTGGAAATATTGGATTGCTAGGTCTATTGCACCCTCTAGTGGCCACAAAAAGACTGTTCTTTTTTTAAAATCCCAGTTTGGCCAAGATTGCAAATTGGATATGGGTATACATCATCCTTGAGTTTAAAAAATAATCAGTCTGCCTTTGTGTGTTTTCCATGTTTTTTTTTTTTTTAATCTAATGTTAAGAGAAACAAATGCTGTCACAATTTTATCCATTCAGTTCTATTTCTCCATTCCGGCTGAATATCGATCAACCGAGGAAAGGCAAAGGCAACTACCTTTCGTGCTATATTGATTCTTAAGTAGAACTGAAGATGATCATCTTTGTTGGTTTATGAAAGGGAATTTTGAAATGAATATCTTCTAAAACAGCAATTTCTCACCACAGGGTTATTTAGAAGCCAAGGTAATAATTAAATATGCCCAACACTATGAACCTATTCTTCTCTGCCCAAACCCTTCATTTTTATAATGGATAATTACAGCAAAAACTTCGATTAACCAGAACCCCCAATTAACATGATTTCTTCCTCTTATACTCTAGTTTTAGGACAAAGTGGAAAAATAATCACAATAAATTATTCATGTGAGAGACTTAGTTTGAAAATCTTCTGGGATGGTTATTCCATGATTCACACCATGATTATTAATATACAGAAAACACATATTACAACTGGAAGGGAATAAAAGTTTTAAAAATGCTAATGTGTTGAAACTGAACTATTTTTTATTCTTTCTGCTAGTTTCTTTACTGTTACATTGCTATTCATAAAACAAAAAGAGAGGGGAAATGTTCTTTAAAATCTTCTATTTTCTACATTGATAGATCTAAACAGAATTGAGAATACAGGAATCCTAAGGCCACCATACTTTATTAAGATAAAAACTAGGTCTCTGAGGGAATATCTCCTCCAATATGAGCTGAAACAACTAATTTGAAAATATATTTATCAGGACATTCCTTATTCAGGAGTTCATCTTACGGCAAAGTTTCACTTAAGTATAAAACTCAACAGACCACAAAGTCAGAGGCTAAGTACCCATCCCTGAACGGAAACCTCATGATATCAAAGCCATATATTTAAAATACGGTTTATTTGTGATTTAACATTAATTAGCATTACATCTAAGAGCAATATCAGATAACATTTATACATTTTTCCACAGGACACAGAGGTTCATTGGCTCATTCTTTATGCCAAAGCAAGTAAATAGAGGCATTAGCAAAAGGTGCAATAGTTCACTGTTGCGTTTAAAAAATATTTATGCACATTGCATTCATTTAGATATATATATTTTTAAAAAGTTATGGAAAAGCATAGTTCACAGGTTACTGTTTCTACATACATTGTAGTACAACATAAATGATGTAGAACGTAAAAAAAAATCCTCAAATACAGAGTTAAGCAACTGAAAGTTTCCACTAAGAGATTAAAACACTAATTCCAGTAGTTAGTTTGAGATCTAGAATGACATTTCCAGGCTCCGTTTCAACTTTGCATGGTCATACACAGTCAAACAGAACCAGCCTCAGGACACACTGTAATCAATGTCACTGTTGCATGCCAACTCACCCTCCAGAAACGCTCCGGGTTATTTTTACCCATGGATCATTTTGGATTATCGATTTTACATTGATTTATGACATGACTTGGGTGAAGAGGGAAAAGCCTATATTATGCCTAGGTTTAAATTTGTATTTACATTAGAGAGAAAATTAACTGAGAAGATTCTTTTTTAAAAATCTGTAAAAATGAAGAAGTGGTAGTTTTTTCTTATTCGTAGGATTAGACCCACTGATTTCTTCTAGTGATGCCCTCTAAAGATAACACAAGTTAGAAGGAAATGACCCTTTTAAAATGCAAATATCAACTAAGAAAGTCATTGATTCTGGCAGAAAAACAGAATTTTAAAAATTTGGGACATGTTTCGAATAAATCACACTATAGTGTGCCTATCAGTTGTAATCAAACTAGAATTCTTCTTTTCACATTCCACCTTTTGTTCCCTTTTCACTTTCCCTTTCATTCGTTTTCATTTGGTTACCTTAAGAGATTTTCTTTATTCATTAGCAATACTAAGAAAAATAAAGTATATGATTCAAATACGAATCTAGATGTACCTTTAATGCTCTAATCCCCTTTTGATACCAAGTCCCTGGATTCTTGAATTATATTTAAGTATACTCAGTACCAAGCAGACTTAAATATGCTCTACTGTTAAATGATTGGCTAATATGCATAGGACACTTTATACTGAATGGTATACAAACATCTTAACATACAAAAATTGTTTTTGCCAGAGTTAAACTAAATAACCCATGTTATGTGTACAAAATCCCCTTTGTTGAAAAATAAGGGGCTTTCTAAACTAATAAAAAAAGGAAGTTTTCAAAAATTATAGTTTACTAAAACAGCTTTTTTTGGCAAACAAGGTTACTTCAGGTGAGGAAATTTTATACTGTGAATAAAATTCCAAACGAATCTTTTCTTAAAACTTTAAAAAAAATTATGTGCCAGTGTATACTAATGCTATAGATTCTTGTCTTAGAAGCTTTTAAAGCATTCTGTTAATGCCCATTGAAACAATGGGGACCCAAAAGATACAGTCAAAAATTATGATAAAAAATTATAATCTGATTACCAAGTGAAACAAATGTTGAGAAATAAAAATTCTCACTTGTTCACTGGCAATTTTTTTCTAACAGATATTATGGAGAAGGCCTGAAGTAATTCAGACAGATATCTGTTTGTGGTGATTATAACATACTTCATGAGGGCAGAGTTAATTAAATCTAGCAATTGTTTAAAAATTCAAAGTCATTTTTTGGACATATAAAATGAGAGATGAAAAGGCTTTTTTTCATAATATGTTTTTCTTTTAGTAAAACCTCTTTCCAGTTCTTAAAGTCCAGTTTGCTACATACCCCCAATCTGATCTACCACTGCATTAATATCAACTTAAATGTGGTATTTAAATGTGCAATGTCACATTGTAATAATAATAATTATAAAAAGACTTTATTTAGGCTTCAACTTTCTCCTTTTTCTTGTTTTTTTTCAGAAAAGAAGGAGTGCGGAACTTCTTCTTTTTCTTGGATGGTGATTTTGAAGGTGAGCCTTCAGGTGACAGGATTTCTTCAATTTTTTCTGGAGACTTAATGGTAATCTCGACGTTTTCTATGGTCGTGCTTGTAGTTAACCTACTCACACGCTTAGCAAGCTCATCTTCAACGTCATGCATATCATCTTTGCCATTTACTACCATGACAGGCACTTCCATGGAGATGAAGCTCTTGGAAAACAGCTCATGGTTTTCTACAAAAGGGGAGGGTTTTTTGGGTTATTTTACATAGTTAACATTTTTGCTTTATTTTAAAAACTGAAATGTTTTAGCAATGTACTAAGGCATTACTTTAATTCCAATGAAGATAGATCATTATTTTAACAAATGATGGATCTATTAGTATGAAGCTATTTTTCTTAAATGATATAAAGGGGAAAGGAACAAAATTATTAAAAAGTAAAAGCTAGGTAATTCCAGTTTGATGACATTACAGTTTCGTTGTAAATCACATCAGTATACATGAAAAAGACAACATATTTTTCTTTAGTTTGGGGGTCGTTTGGCTATCAAAACTGCAAAGGATTTCATGCTGCTGATTGGAAGACGCATGACAAATCAATTTTAATTCCACAAATTCTTAGGAGCTATGGGGTTGCCAAAACCTAGATTTTTTTTTTTTTTTTTAAATAAAGATAGGGTCTTGCTCTGTTACCCAGCCTGAAGTGCAGTGGTGCAACCATAACTCATTGTAGCCTCAAACTCCTTAGCCCAAGTGATCCTCCGATCCTCCCACATCAGTCTCCCAAGTAGCTGGGACTACAGGCATGAGGTACCATGCCTGGCTAATTCTTTTATTTTTCGCAGAGACAGGGTCTCACAATATTGCCCAGGTTGGTCTCAACTTCCTGGCCTCAAGTGGTCCTCCTGCCTCCACTTCCCAAAGTGCTGGGATTATAGGTACGAGCCATTATGCCTGGCTAAAACCCAGAATAAGGTAAATCAATATAAATGATGAACAGAAGTAACACCACATTTAATAATATAAATTATTGATAGACTTGAAAAATCCATGGCAAACTTACTTTGATCAGGTGTTCAACTTCCTTACATGAAAACAAATGACAGAGGGACAGACTCAAGACTGACTCAGTGAATGCTATGGGAAATTATATTGAATACCTTCCAATTTTTCAGGGACATTTTGCGGTGACTGAGTTTGAGACTGAATTTGTGAAACAGATGAAGCGTCATCTGAGAGTAATTCCTGCTCAGCATCTGTTGGATAAGAGTTTAGTTAAAAGCCATGCAAAACAAAACAAAGCAGCATAAGATTTTAGGGAGGTTAGTGCATACATCAAATGCCTCCATACAGAGAGATGCTAAATTCTTCAGCAATGAGTTGTGCATGCTAACGGTTATCCCATATATCAATAATTGTGCATTGAGAGGAAGTTAATGTGTTAAAATTTCCAGCTGCTAATAGTACTTTTACATACAGGGTTACAAAGGAAGCACAGCTAAACTGGCAGCCCAGGCAAATAATATGTGTGCATTTAGCTTTTATGGTGTTAGAAAACCAAAACAGACTGAGCAGCCAGATGAAAACAATATAAAGCCTCACCAAAGAGGCTACGTTAATGAGGCAGAATGCTTCGCTGAATTTTTGAACAATATCCAATAGTGATTTCTGTCAGAGCAATAGTACTGAGCTAATTGAGAAGGTCATAATGAATGTGGAAGAAACTATAAAGTTATATATATATTTGTTACCTGGCATCTTTAGGCTTTCAAAAAATAAGAGAATAAGAGGGACATTTTACAAAATATATAAAAAAGAGAAAGCTCCCAACCTTATGTTAGAATAAACAAATTCAACAATACCACTTAGAACGTTTAGTGTAATTATCTTAATGACTCAGGATGACTCCCTTTTGTGACACACTGACAAAAACCTTTCCTTGGATGATCAAGATATCATTTGTTTTTCCTACATGATCTCTAACATGGCAATAGTTCTTTAACTATTGGCTTGTTTAGCATTGGGTAAAATTTTCAACTGCATACTGTGGATGCTCTGAAGCACAAGCTTTTACCCTCTTTTGAGGTCACATACTTCTCCCTACCCTGAACCCCCTTTCCCCAAATGTATATAGTGTATAATTAAGCATGTATTTTTCAGGTGGCACACAGACTGTTTGAAGCTTATCCAAAGACCCAAGATGGAGAACTCCTGTTAAAAAGAATCTTATTCTAGAAAGGAAGCTAGTAATCAATTTGCTAGGATGTTTTCATTAACAATTCTTAAATATAATCCTAAAAATCTACTTACTAAGTGTTCCAAAGTCAGAAAAATCCAACCTCATTAGAGTGTCCATATGGGTAAGGAAAGCCACATCAAAACTCTAGCAGTTTTAAATTTTGATTGTTAAGTGACAATATTGACACCAAGGAACAGATATTTTACAAAGCAATAAAACCATAAACTTATGAATCTATAATTATCTAAAAATAAGATTTGAAAAGCCACGTACTATGAAATGTTTATATTTATTAATATATCTACTTTGGCTAGTAATTCTTTACTCATCTGAAGATTTCCCTTTATAGAAGATTTTATTATAAAATATCTAGCACTGAGATTCCTTTCTGAGGAAGAACAGCTTTCTCTACATGTTAAGCTACATGGTCTATGGTAGTTCTATGCATTTCAGCTCCACATATATTCGGGTAAAGGACTGGGATAGATGAAATAGAACTGATGGAAAAAGAAACATTTTTTAAAATTAAAAAAAAAACATTGACTGCCTTCTATCATCCAACTTGGGGTGTTATCCATGTGGTTATCCTAGACTTTATATAAAAATTAACTAACCTTCTAGGCCTTGTTGTTTACGTTCGATTGTCTTCTTATATTCTTCAAGTTCTCCTTCCGTGAGATGACTGAATGGGTTGGGAGGAGCTGGTGGGCCATGATCATCATCATCAAATTGCATGGTCTTACAAAGAAAGAAAGAAAAAAAATCGATTTATTACCAAGAGTTTTACTATCTATCTACATATGCACACTCATATACACACATGAGTGTAAATGCATAAATGTGAAACCCTACTTCACAATGATCATAAGAAATGACGAGGCAACATACTTTGTTTAAACTACTCTTACCAGATTAATGCTCTTAAGACTACTATCCAAAGGACTAAAATTGCCAGTGATGTTTCCTCAATAAGCCTGTATAGGTAAAGTTTAATAATCTTTTAAAAACAAACAAACAATCAAGCCAAGCTCTAATAAACTTTACATAACTGAGAAATATATTGAAAAAACAAGAATCGCCCCATTTCAAAATCCTTTGTAAAAAAGGTTTAGATAAATGAAGATGTACCAAAAGAACTTCTTTAAATTTGTTATGAAAATAAACTTGTAGCTGTTTTCTCTAGGAAAAGAATTAATAAGACTTTCAGTTACACCTGGCAGATGGAACACATGCATTTATTTTTGATTCCTCCCCAAATCCTACCAAAATGATAGTAAAAGAATGACAATAAACTTTTTTTTTTTTTTTGAGACAGTCTCGCTTTGTTGCCCAGGCTAGAGTGAGTGCCATGGTGTCAGCCTAGCTCACAGCAACCTCAAATTCCTGGGCTCAAGCAATCCTGCTGCCTCAGCCTCCCAAGTAGCTGGGACTACAGGCATGCACCACCATGCCCGGCTAATTTTTTCTACATATATTAGTTGGCCAATTAATTTCTTTCTATTTATGGTAGAGACGGCGTCTCACTCTAGCTCAGGCTGGTTTCGAACTCCTGACCTCGAGCAATCCACCTACCTCGGCCTCCCAGAGTGCTAGGATTACAGGCGTGAGCCACCATGGCCAACCAACAATAAACTTTTAAGGACAAAAGAATGGGAGAGGAGACAGAAGATGAGAAGTGTTAACACATTTATGGAAGATGGAAAGCAAGTGGAAGAGTAAGTAGCAGAGCTTAAAAAGTTGAAGCATTAGTCTTGCAGAAAAGGATGCAAATAAGAAGCATGCTAATTCACCCTGAAGAGGTCTGATAAGGCTCTGAAACTAGAGGCATCAGGTATCACAGAAAATGATGGTGAGGAAAAGCTGAAAATAGGGAGACAAGTTAAAAGTATGAATAAGAAACAGATTCCCAGGTTCCCATCCTACTCCACATAGCCAAGCATTTACCTCTCTCCCAACACAGAAGATCAGAGGCTTATTAATCTGTAGAAAAAAGCTAAGGGACATAAAACACAGCTGCAGCTCTCAGAACCACAGTAGGAAACTGACTGAAGCATTCTTCTCTGGATAAATTAAATGGTCCCAGATAAAAGAACCACAGATGGCAATGTTTGGGGATTCCCCAGAGAAGCAGCCTGGTCCACATCCAGCCACCCTGCAGAGCAGCTCACCAGTCCCCAAACTCTGGACAACCCAGAGCTTCTGATCAGCTTTTAGTGTTTCATTCTTTAATGTAAACAGACTGCCACAAATTACCAGACACTTGAGGAAAGCTTCCAAAGTGAAGGAGGAAGACCAGAATCAACAAGAAAAAGGGAACTCAGAAGAAAACAAAGGCTGAAGAAAATTTAAAATCGATTCCCTTAGAGCAACAAGAGAAAATTTATCCGTGAAACAGGGAGTAAGAACTCTTTTTTTAAAAAAAGTGGAAAATAAAACTAAGAAATCTTCTGGAAAGCAGGATAAAAAAAAAAGACAAAGACATGCAAAGTAGGAGAAAAAGAAAAAAAATCAAAGGCTCAAAGATGCTAAGCATCCAAACTAATAGGATATACTGACAAGAAAAAGAGAGAAATTGGTAGTGGTGAGGGGAACCTATTGAAGAAATACTTTTAAAAAAATTCCAAGAACTGAAGGATATGACTTTGCAATCTGCTATTAATGCTAAGGGCTACTAATTGCTAAGAACAGAGACTGAAAAGAGATCTACTCCAGAGTATACAATCATAAAATTTCAGAACAGTAGGGATGTAGAAAAGGTCTAAAAGAAAAAAAAAGATCCTATCAGGTTCAGTAATCATGATGTCATCTTACTGCAACAATAAAAGTCAGAGGCCAGGCCAGGCATGGTGGCTCATGCCTGCAATCCTAGCACTCTGGGAGGCCAATGCAGGAGGACCATTTGAGACTAAGAGTTTGTGATCAGCCTGAGCAAGAGCGAGACCCTGTCTATACAAAAGACAGAAAAATTAGCTGTATGTGTTGCCACACATCTGTAGTCCCAGCTACTCAGGAGGCTGAGGCAAGAGGATTGCTTAAGCCCAGGAGTTTGAGGTTACAGTGAGTTATAATGACACCATCTACCCATGGCAACACAGCGAGACCTTGCCTCAAAATAAAAAATAAAAATAAAAAAATAAAGGAGTTAGGGGACAAAAGAGTGATACTTTTCATGTTTGGGAGAAAAATTATTTCCAAACTAGAATTCTATACCAATTATATGCACATTTGAAGGTAGAATAAAGGCATTTCAAACTGTTACTTCCTACATATCCTTTCTCAGAGAGCTATTTGAGGATGTGTTCTATGATGGCCAAAATAAGAAATCAGAAGACATAAGATTTAGGAAACAGAGGATACAACATAGATAAGAAGCACAGGAATCCTGAGAATGAGCCTATGCAGCCTGAGAACAAGAAGTCCACATTTGGACCAGAATAATTGGGGGCTGGAATGGAAAGATTACCTGTAGCCTTTGACCCTATGTAAAATAATATTAAGAGGGAATTTGTAATTCTGTTGAAAAGTTTGGGAGGAACTAAGGTAATGTACTCAAAATGCTAAGCAAATAAAAATGGGAGGCAATTATTAACTCAAGAGTGGGGGGAAAATTATATAAGAAAGGAAATATTAATACTACCTGGCTCAGCAGCAAACATGTATAATAATACTAATACTAATATAAACACTGAAAGCTGATTTAACAAAAAAATAAACTGTGATATAACTTTACTGGGAGAATGTGGAGGGGAAAAAAAGGAAGCCCTGTGTAAAAAGATTAAATCCTCATCTTCCATAAAAGTTGTTACTCTATGTTTCATTAATTCTAAGATGCACTTTCCCCCCACATTTTCCCATCTCTGTAATTGGGAATTGTCTTATAACTTATAGCTTCCTACAATTATAATTGGTAAGCATTTTTTATTTTCTTTTAGTGATACATAAAATAATGGTACATCTTACAATAGATGACACAGATCTGATAAAATACAGTGAAAGTCTAAAACTGATAGAGCAAGAACAGCAGAATAAAGATACTCTTTAGAAGCATCAAGATAAATGCTAGAGGCAATTGAAAGAACAGAAAGTCCTTGCCTCTGGAAATTGGGAAATGAAGGTAGTATATTAAGTCTTATGAATTGACTTTTTAACTTGTGATTATATTAACCTTAGTAAAAATATTCATATTTAAAGAGCAAATAAATTAACGTGGTAGATCAAAAACAAAGACCATATTGCTTCATGGACTTACAGAAGGAGGCTTATCCACAACAATTCCAGCGAGCAACTGAGACTGTGGTCCTGCTGTTTTCAAGTCATATCGGTTTTGTTCCCGAATCTGAATTGAAAAACAAAACAAGTTCTTTGGGGCAACTATACAGATGACCTTTGCTTTCTCTTTTCCTAAAAGCTTATTATTTGACCACTCCAGAGTAAGAGTCTCTTCAATTTCTACCAAGAAAAAGACCATCTTAACAACTCACATTAGTCTTCACTCTTTATGGCACGTGATTTTCTATTGTCTTACATTGCTAGAGAACTGCATTTCCCCCAATACTAGGGCTCATTAAGGCAGAAGTAGTTTAATATTTCTTCCCCATGTAGCCTGTTCACTAATGACTAGCACAGAACTGGAGGCATTCAATACAAGCTAAAATTATATTGAATTAAATTCCAAATTCTTCTGTATTCAAACTAAGTTCAGTATTAATCAGACTCAATCACTAGTGATTTAAACATAAAACAAAAGAAAAATGTCTCCCCTGGCCACATAAGACCCTGTCTTACCTTATTTCTCTTTTCTAGTACCTCGCTCGGGTTGGTGTTTAAAGGAACAAACTGATTTGGATCTTCAATTTTGATAGGTGTTCCACTGCTGACTTTAGAGGAGTCCTCTGCTTTCATCCACTAAAGAATCAAAAATTGTCTAGAATGAAGTTTTGTGTTCAGGAAATATTAATAGGTGCTTCATAGTTATACCTATAGCTAGATATTTATAGTCTCAAGGGGGGGATACCTATTGCCAATCTTTTAAAGAATTTTCCTAAATAATATCTTAGTGGTCAATTAGTTCACATCTCATACTAGTTAGAAAAAGGTTCATAGTAGGCACTCACTTTAAAAAAAAATTAAAATGCCATTACTATTCACATGAATACTCAATTATACACTAAACTTTCTCCTTTTGGCAACTGAAAATATGATGCTGAGAACTATTGTGAGCACAGAGAGCCTGATCGCCCATTAACTCACATTCAGAGTTCTGTCTCCTGCACTGAAGTTTCATCAGATGATGATGGCCAAGTAGTCATCAATAAGACTCAAGGAATCTCTTAAGAGTTAGTTTTCTAGACTTCACTTTCATTTTTGGCTGACACAAAAGGCCAAACCCCTAATCAGCATTTTATAATGGGGATAATCTGATAGTACACAGCATAACAGAATCACAGGATTGGAAGGAGCTTATATAATTCTTCTCATTTATCCCATTTTATAATCCTTAAAGAAAGTTATTATTTATCAAGATTAATGATGACTGACCATCAATCTCTGCCAATAAAATGAATTCTGGGAAACTTCTGAGTTGAATTATGTTCTTTTACTGGGAGATAAGAAATCTTACAGACTATGAAAAAAATACTTTGATGCCTAGGCATTTCCATATTGAATGCCATTGATTTATATGATAGGAGGAACTAATTTTGAGTATTTAGAGAATATTTGATGGTAAGCATTCCAAAACTAAACCAAATGTGAAGCAAAATTCTGAAAAAGATAAAATAACTTATCTCTCTACCTACAAGATCTCACACCTAAGGGTAGCTGTGTATAGGAATTCACACAACTTTGGCACAATTAGGTGTTGGTAACTTTATAGTTCTAATTTATTGGCTCAGTATAAACTACAAAGTAGTATCATGTAGTGGGTAAGAACTGGGCACCAGAGTCAAACTGTCTGCATTCAAATCCTGACTTTACCATTAAAAAAAAATAAGCCCCTTTTGCCTTGTTTTTTCCATCTATAAAATAGGAACAAAAACAGCATCATTTCATATTAGGAGAAATAAATGAGATAATTCACGTTTAGAACAGTGTCTTGCAAAAAGTTAAAACCTGGTAAATAAATGATAGTAATATTTTTCTTATATTCTACTTGCCCAATATTTAGTAAAGGCAAACTATGTAAAATGCTGGCATACTGTGATTTTGGTCCTGGGACTGGTTTCCCCATTCCGAGACTCCTCAGGCACATTCACTTTCATGTAGGTGTTCGGAGAGTTCAGCCATCTTGTTTTTTCACGCTGCTGCCTCTGGGCCATGTATTTGAGAGGAGAGAGTGGCACTGTGTCATCTTCGAAGGAAAAAGCAGTCACAGTTGCTGGGATTTCCACATCACTCTTGTGCCTTGGCTTTTCTCGAATGAGAGGATGCCTGTAAGCATAGCCTGTTCTATACCCCTAAGGGACGGAAAAACCACATTTGAAGCAATCAAACCTGTACCAACACAGCATTTGGATTCTAATTCTTTAAACAAATGACTCAAAAAGACATCTTTGTTGAAAAACAAATAAGGGGGAAAATATCCTCCCAAACCCCACAATCTCCACATAACACTAGAGTTAAAGTCAAGAAAATTTCAAAATCTGGTTAAAACTGATTTTGGCTGACACTGCAATTTCCACTCACACAACTGTTCCTAACAGAGGTAATTTCTAAACTGCTGACTAGAAACATTTTTTCTACTTATAAAACTGTTTTGGGGAACCAAATCTCAGTGGTCATTTAAGTCTTTGTTCCTGGGTCTAATGGCAATCTGCCTTCTGACCCTTCATGGAAGAGGGTAAAATCTAACATAAGATGACATTTGCCAAACCATACATCTGATAAGGGGTTAATATCCAAAATACATAAGGACTCAAACAAATAAATAGCAAGAAAACAACCTGATTAAAAACTGGGCAAAGAATCTGAACAGACATTTCTCAAAAAATATACAAATGGCCAGCAAGTATATGAAAAAAAGGCTTAACACATCACTAATCAGGGAAATGCAAATTAGGACAAAAATGGGATATCATCTCACACCTGTCAGAACTGCTATTATCAAAAAGACAAAAGTGGCTGGTCATGGTGGCTCACGCCTGTAATCCTACACTCTAGGAGGCTGAGGCGGGAAAATCGCTTGAGGTCAGGAGTTCGAGACCAGCCTGAGCTAGAGCGAGACCCTGTTTCTACTAAAAAAGTAGAAAGAAATTAATTGGCCAGCTAAAAATATATATGTAAAAAATTAGCCAGGCATGCCTGTAGTCCTAGCTACTCGGGAGGCTGAACCAGAAGGACTGCTTGAGCCCAGGAGTTTGAAGTTGCTGTGAGCTAGGCTGAAGCCATGGCACTCTAGCCCGGACAATAGAGTGAGACTCTGTCTCAAAAAAAAAAAAAAAAAAAAAAAAGATAAAATTAAGTGTTGGATAGGATGTAGGGAGAAAATGGTATCCTTGTACATTGTTGGTGGGCGTGTAATTAGTATGTTCCTCATAAAATTAAAAATAGTAGTAACATATGATCTAGCAATCCCACTACTGGGTATATAACCAAAGGAAATGAAATCCGTACGGATATCTGCACCCCCATATTCACTGCCGCATTATTCACAACGGCCAAGATATGGAATCAACCTAAGAGTCCATCAATGGATGAATGGATAAAGAAAATGTGGTATATACACACAATGGAATACTATTTAGCCTTTAAAAAGAAGGATATTCTGTCCTGTGCAACAGCATGGATGAACCTAGAGGACATTATTATAACTGAAATAAGCCAGGCACAGAAAGACAAATACTACATGATCTTATTTATATATAGAATCTAAAAAAATGGAACTAAAAGTAGAGAGTAGAATGATGGTTAAGAGGAGGTAGGAGTATGGAGACACTGCATAAAGGATACAAAATTTCAGCTCCATAGGAGGAATAAGTTCAAGAGATACATTGTATAATATGGTGACTATAGTAAATAACAATGTATTATATTCTTAAAAAAAAGATGAATGATATTACATGTTCACTGTTTAATTCTTAAAAATGTGGTTAAACCACACCAAAATGCCTTCCTAGGGTCCAACTCTGCTTCTGGGGGAATAAGAAGCAAGTTCCAAAACCAAAGGGAGATGAAAGCATCTGCTCTCGATTCTGAAGACATGAAAGCCAAGTTTATGTTTAATGTTTCACCTACCAGATTGTCCAGAGTTCTCATCAGCCCCTCAAACTCAATCTCGCCAACCTTCCATTTTTGATGGGAACCCATATTCACGCCTCCTCCTCCAGATGCTGCTACAGTGTAAGTAGAAGCTTTATACTTCTGAAGGTCCAGCACAAGCAGATTGTCTACTCCACCTGCCCCTGCTAATGCCTGCACCTGTAACCAATGGTAAAATACACAGACACACAAAACTGTAAAGACTGTAATGTGTATTTTACTTTGAAAAAGACACAATTTCAATTTGGCAAATATCCATAACACATAAAGAGCCACACCTTTTAACATATTTCAAGCAACTGAAATCTCTTGCCAAATTTTAAAGTTCTCTTCTTGAAGTTTTCCCATGGCTATCTGGCTAATACTTTTGCTGAAAGTTATAATTTTAAAGGAGTATAGAAACACTACACTTTGAATTTAAGGATATTTAGGCAGAAGTCATTAGCTCGTTATCTTAATCTAATTAAGCTTTTCATAGCCCCATCTGAGAAGAGGAGGGACCATTAAAGCAAAAAAGAAGTTGGTAATTAGGACAAGTTAAAGTTGGTAGAAATTTTCTTCCCTTTCTCATGGCTCTTCTAATAAATTAAGATTATTACCATTGCTTCAAGAGAATCTGATTGATTTTCTTTAAGAGTGAACCCAGGGCCTTTAAATATCTGCCTCACTGAGGAAGACAGTGGTTAATAAATATCCAACCTATTATAAGAATGAGTCTGTGGAATGGTTGAAAACCACGTCCACGTGAGTCCATAAAACTCCTGGCCCTAGTCTTCAGCTTTTCACAAAAGTGGAAACAACACATTTGATTCTTGCTGATTTGAGGCTGTCTTTGTTTCCCAATTAGCACCACCACTATAGGGTGAAAACAGAAATGGGCAAGTGTACTATCTTTAAAAGTAGTATTGTGGGGAAAATGATGTTTATAAGGCACTTAGATTTGTGTGAGAAAATTTTCATTTCTTTTCCTATTCCTTTTCAATTCAAGTGATAACTGAGTAGACAACCCCTTTTCACTTAAGTAGAGCAGAACTTCTCTTAAAAGACAAAACAAAAAGCTCTTTAACCAATAGAGCTTTGGAAATAAGTAAACAAAATCCAAACAAGCAAATAACAAAGCAATGAAAAAAGGGAAATAATTTCTCCTACCTGAATCTCACAGGCCATCTGCACATTAAAAATATAATGAAAAGCCTCCTCCACTGTTTCTCCAAGTGCTACCACACCATGATTCCTGAGGACCAGCACCTAAAATAGAATCCCCAGAGCAGTCACTTTAAATAACTGGCATAGCTCACACGGTTTTCATCAACAGCAGCAGCAATGAAAATAGCTCCTAGGACAGAAACTCTACTACATACCTTACAACTTGGCCCAAGAACTTTCTGCAGTTGAATTCTCTCCTCCTGTTCATCAAGAGATCCTTGGTAGTTGTAATAGGCGACATCTCCCAGGATAAGGGACTCTTGAGAAATTGGAAGGATCCCACACTTCATGGAGGATACCTATTTGGTTGGGTGCATACCAAGATGACACATTTAGTTACCGAATACATTTTCATACAAACCTGATTCTTTGGTCAGCTCAGGAAGCACTGGCCTATTCACTGTGTTCACCATCGCAGCCCACTTCCCACTTTAGTTCCTCACTCCCTCCCCCCCAAAAGGACTTAAGGGGATACAACTCAATTTAAATGCTGTGTGTGTGTTAAGTATTATGAAAGAAACTTTGTTCCAAAAAACTCAATGACCCACTTATTAAACTGATTAGTTTTAAAATCCAAATGCTATCTCTCCAGTTGTTTCCTAAAATGGTAGCATTTGGTCCCAAGGGCCTTTTGCTTTCTGGGTATGTAGAGGATTAATATTTCAAATGTGATTTGGGATGGCAGGGTCTGAAGGAAAGCAGATAGTAAAGCACCATGTTGGGAAAGCCATGAAAATAATGTATTTTCGAGAGTCATTGTTGATTTTGTTCTTCATTGACTTACAGCTGCTGTTTCAAGGGTATGGATGTGTATCACACACTTCACATCAGGACGTGTTGAATAGATTGCAGCATGGGGACTGAATCCTGTATGGTCAATTTTCAAATTAGTACTTCCCTGGTCAACCACTTCTCCTATTATATTGACTTTCACCTGGAAACAAATCAGAGAGACATATTTAACTGGTACACATGTATCAAAGTTTGTCTGTGTTCCATAAGCTAAAGCAGGGGGTGGCAAACTTTTTTGCTAATGGCCGGCTAGTAAGCATTTCAGATTTTGTGGGCCTCTGTTGCAATTACTCAACTCTGCTGCTATAGGACAAAAGCAGCCATAAACAATTTGCAAAAGAATGGGTTTAGCTTTGTTCCTAAAAAACTTTATTTATAAAACAGGTAGTATGCAACAAAACTTAGTATTTAGCAAGAAGCACAGTTGCTAAGATAGGTTCTTCACTGGAAGTTTGAACAAGCCTGGCATTTATTGAACTGGCTGGGAAATTTCCATTTGCTAAGATTGTAGCACCCAAAACCAATGTAGCTCTTGCTGCTGTATAAGCTGATGACAGTGGCTAGGAGTATAATCATGGAAAAGATAAAATGCTAGAAGGTCAGGTCCTATACTCATGCCAACTAAATGTTGTTTAAATCTAGCTACAATACACAATGACTTTGTATGTGTTTGTGTTTTAAAAAAACAACAAATTCCAGAATGTACAAGGTATGAGAAAATTCAAAAGATTCCTTTCAAAACATGGAGAAGTTAACTTATAAGACCAACTCATTTATTAGTCTCAACTACCGTTTTTCTTGAATGCTATAGCTTTTCTTAAAAATTAACATAATTTTCCAATCCCTAACTGCTCACTAGTAAATGTTTTTCCATCCATACCTTTTCTTATTTCATTCTGTGCTAAAAGCTAAAAACTGTCAGAAAAGCACAAGAAAGCTCAGAAAAAGAAACATAGGAATGAAAATTATACCAAATTGGAGGCTGTGGCTTCAGAAAAAGATAGGCCTCTGGGAATTATAATAATGTGGTCTTGCTCCTTACTTATTCTTACCTGGAAAAAAGAAAAAAAATAATAGGGAATTACTATGAAGTGTTCATATTTTGCAGTTTAAACATGACTAGAGATATATTTATAATGTATAACTTTAAGATACAAAGAGGGGAAGAAATAAAGCAAAAAATTAAAGAACTATAGCATGAAACTTTCTTTAAAAATTCCCCTAACACCCAAGCACTGAAAAATTCTAACATTAGTCTCTCATTTACTGGACTTATCTAAAGTGTTATTTTGAGGTCCTAAGGTTGCTTAGGGTCAGCTACATTCATGAAAAATAAATGCCAATATTATTTAATCCAATGTGGTAATGATTATAACCTTAATTCACAACATGGAAATTAAGAGAAAATGGGCAAAGAGAACAGAATCTCTTCCTAGGAAGGAATTAAGATGGAGATGAAAGAGGGAAACTGAGGAATGGCTGGGGGGAAAGGAGAGAGACTGTTGGTAGACTGCATCATGTATCTATGCCATTTCCATCACATAGTATCTTAACACATTTCTGCTTCCAAATAACATTTTGCTTGCAAGTGTGGCAAAGTGAAAACAAAAGGATAGTGAATGGAAAAAATATATTTAAAAAATAAAAGCCAGACAGGAAACTTCCTTGACCCTCTCTTGTCTTCCTTGCCTCAAATGCTTTTTAACGCCATTGATGCTCAGATATAATTATCACAGAGAGGGACAATTCTGCCATAAGGTTTCTTCCTGGATAGGTTCTGCAACTGGTCTGAATGAAAGGAACGACAAAGACAGTAAAGGGAAAGGAATGTGGGGGTTGTAGCCTCTAGCTTGGAGGAAAGGTTTAAATCATCATTTGGTTGTGATCTAGCAATGCTAGGTTCAGAGAATAAGTCTGAAACAGTACAGTTGCCTTATGGTTGGAATTTTATAAAATAGGAATTGAAAGCCAAAGAACTCACTGAGATGTATGTATTTGCCAGGTGTGCCCATCCAAACAAGTCCGTAAGTCTGTACAGGCTGGCAAGTTTACAACGGGTGAGTTTTTCTCCCTTCACATATGAGGAAGTGTCTGCACCAGGAAGGTCATTGATAGGTGAGACCATGCCAAGACCTAAAGGAGAAAAAATCGTGGAGAGAGATTCAAGTCAAGTAACTCCTTACCTGGAAATTATTTGCCAGGACGGAGCCTGTGTCTGGGAGTGTCCTAGCCTTGTAAATAATAGTCTGAAATTTATCAGCCCATATAATGTTTTATTAGCTTATCATTTTCAGAGAAGTATACTGAGAATAAAAATAAGTGTCGGCTATCTTTGATTGCTTGGTAAAATTTGCTTCATCTAGTACTTGGTTAGGGAGTGACTATAGCAAAGGCTCACACCACTGGGAAGAAATGGTTACATGACCCCAAAGATGAAAGTGTTATTAAATACTGAGGTTATTGCTAATTTTATGAAAAACCCTCAACAGAAAGCCACTTTTCTAATATCTCTTTTAACTTTTATTCAAACACAAAAAGCACTTAAGATGGAAAAGAATCCATACAAATAGTAGTCTGGCTTCTGTCCTCTTGAAGATCTTAAAGTAGTCTTGAAGGTCTCTAATGATCCAATTGCCAAGTTCAATTGTTACCAAGTTCAACTTTTGCTCAGTCTTCATTCTCCTTGACCTCTTTGCAGCTTGATACCATTTATATTGCTTTTTTCCTAGAATTCTTCTCCAGGCCCATGTGATACTATCCTGGATCTCTCCTTCCCATTCCATCTACTTCTTTTCTTCTTCAGTAAGTTCTCTATCCCCCACTTTCCCCCAACTTTGGCTCTTTCCCAAAGCTCAGTCCTCCACTATGTTCCTTTCTCATTCAACATTTACCTATAACAACATCACACATTTCCAAGCCTCCCCAAAGTTATTTCCATGTAGATGACTCCCCAATGTTTATCTGTGTCTAGCCCCTCATCCTCATTCTCCATCCTGGCCTTGCTAACCATCTACAACACAATAACATAAAAATTTAAGGGGTCTAAGAGTGATTTCATCTTATCTCTCCTGATTTCTTATCTTTTCTCTTTTCCTTACTTTTCTTCTAATATGGATATTATAATTCCTGCAGGCTCAAACCCTAAGTAATGTTTACCTCTTAACCTTTCCTGGGCCACCATATATAATTTGTTACCACATTCCACGATTCTTTTCTTCACGAGGTCCATCATTTTCTTTTCTTTTTTTTGAGACAGAGTCTTACTCTGTTGTCTGGGCCAAAGTGCTGTGGCATCAGCCTAGCTCACAGCAACCTAAAACTCCTGGGCTCAAGCGATCCTCCTGCCTCAGCTTCCTGAGTAGCTGGGACTACAGGCATGCGCCACCATGCCTGGCGCATTTTTTCTATATATTATTAGTTGGCCAATTAATTTCTTTCTATTTTTAGTAGAGATGGGGTCTTGCTCTTGCTCAGGCTGCTTTCAAACTCCTGACTTTGAGTGATCCTCCCCGCCTCAGCCTCCCAGAGTGCTAGGATTACAGGCGTGAGCCACCACACCCAGCCAAGGTCCTTCATTTTCCATACTTGAGTTCAGGCCTTAACTCACATGTGGACTCCTGCAATTAGCCTTCTCATTCTTGTCCTGCCTGTAGCCCTTTCCTTTGTAAATCTATGCTGCATAAAACCAACAGAGTGAGTTTTCTAAAGCACTGCTTTTAACCTGAGAATATATGCCCTGTAAGAAACTTTTAAAGAGAAGCCCAAATCAATATTTTAATGTAAGCTCTTCTAATTTTGAAATGTTTCAAACTAATTCAAAGAAATTGTTTAACATGTTAACTATACAAGATAGCATAATTTTTGACAAAATTTTAGAGTCAGCCATTAACCTAACTCCTACTCTCCCTCTAACCTTCCAACTGTAACTTCCACTTCTGACAACGCAAGAATTGCAGGCAAACTGGTTGATTTCTACTTCCTGACCTCTGAATACTGGCATATGGCTTTCCTGCTGCCATGCCTTTGTACATTCCAGCCAGCCAGCCAGCCAAAATCTCCTGTAGCTGCCATGGAATCTAGGACACTCACAGGATAGCTTCTTTTATTATTTCTGTCTTCCCTGACTAGTCTTCCTCTTCAAACTTTTGAAATTTTCTCTTTGGGCTCTTTCCTTCTCTGCCTATACTCTCTTCTATGATTATTTAATCAATATACATAGCTTTGAGTAATACTTTTCTATGTCCATCTGCCAAGTCTCTCTCCTAAGCTCTCAGACTGCTGTTCCAAATGCTGCAACGCCTTGGCAACTCAAATCGAGCATGCCTAAAGTTGAACTTCCTCCATTTCCCAAGCCAAACTAGATCTCCATTGCCAGACCTTTCCTATTTTTGTTAATAATATTATGAAATCTCCCAGTTCATTCTTCACGCAAAACGTATAGTGGTCTTTGTAAGTCATCCTCCTGCTTCAAATGGCTTCCCAAAGTTAGGAATAAAATCCCGACTTCCAAACCCAGCTGTGATATGATTTATATCCAGCCATATTAAAACCAGATTTTAATATGATTTAGTCTCTGCCTGTGTTTCTGATCTTTGCTCTACTGTCCCCTCCAAAGCCATGGTCCAGATGATTATCTTTATTTTTGTCCCTTGAAGAGGCTAAACTCATTCCTGCCGTCTTATCCTTATCTGGCACTTGTACTAGTTCCCTTGACCTGGAATGCTTTCTCTTGATCTTGGTACAGTTTACTCCTTACTATTAGATTTCAGTCTAAATGTCACCTCCTCAGAGAGGTTTTCTCTGATCACCCGATCTAAAGTAGCCACCCAGTTGTTCTCTATCACATCACCATACTGTAATTCTCTGAATAGCACTCCCTATTATCTGATCATTTTATTTATTTCTTTAGTACATTTTTCGTCTAAAAGAACATGAGAAAAGAAATCCTGTTGGTCTTATCACTGTATTCCCTGTCCCTAAAAGTGTGCTTTGCACATAAAAGATGCTCAATATTATAGAAAGTAAATCAAACTAGCTCAACCTTTGAATTTTTATGTTTGTTATAGAATATTTCTCCCAAACTAGAAAACTCATTGATTTTGGAACTCAACATTTTTGCCCCTTGCCAAACACATTACTACATCAAACCTGCTAACTAGGTTCTATCTACACTTCCTTGGCTATGCCTTTCTTATTGGTCACTTCCTTCTAACACCCACAACCACTACTCTAATTTAGGTACTTATATATCACAAGGTTGAAAGAATCACGATTCTTTAACTGATCTGACTTTAGTTTCTTTCCCTTTGCTGGTAGTCATTTAAATTACCACTGATTAGCTGGCATGGTGGTGCACATCTGTAGTCTTCAGTACTTGGGAGGCTAAGGTAGGAGAATTGCTTGGGCCCAGGAGTATGAAGTTGCAGTGAACTATGATTGTGCCACTGCATTCCAGCCTGGGCAACACAGCAAGACCCTGTCTCAAACACACACACACACACACACACACACACACACACACACACACACACACACACTAACAAAACAAAACACCTATAAGTTATCACCTATCAACTCTTTCTTCACAAGTTTTTTTCACTGTCCATGCTAGCAGCCCTCCTTGCTCAAACAGCGAAGGCCCTCTTCAATCAGACCCAACTAGTCTCCCTAGGCTTTTACACCAAGACTCTCACTGATTTGCCAACTTGCAGTTCTACAAATATACCCTCATCTTACCTGTTTCCACCATCATTTCTCTTTTTAATCTATTCCCTCTATTTGGGAAATACTTGAATTTAATGAAATCCTATTTATAAACCCCTAACAACAACAACAACAACAACAAAAATCAGGAAGGAAAGGAGGGAGAACGGAAGATCAAAAGAAATTAAAAAACAGGAAAAAAAATGTCTCAAGTCTGGCCCGAGGCAGCACCTGATAGTTTTCTCCAGCTCTCTGTGCATCTGCCCGTATTGCAGTGATTTCTGTACATATTTCACAGTTGAGATGTAAAATACCAGAGCTTAAGACCTTATGATTCATGGTATCCTTACAGTGTTCAGCTCACCAAATTGGTGCTCTCCTAAACATCTGCTAAATGAATAAAATGTCCTAACCCGTCTTTTACATCACATTCTAACTACTCCATTCTTTAAAACCTGGTTAGTTCAGGCCTGTCTCCTTCCATAAGGTTTTCTCAGTCTATAATCTCAGCCAATAATCAATTCCAACTGTGACTGTACATATTATAACTTATAAAAGATTATTAGACAATTTCTTATGAATTGCTTTGCAATTTTTTCCTCTATAGTTATTTTGCAGATATAGCTGTATAGTTTTTATAAGAACATATTATTTTTGTGCATATATGGTATGTCTCTTCAACTAAAATACACATTTATCTAAGGTAGAGACCATGTGTTATTTTCGGAGACAGGGTCTTGCTATGTTGCTCAGGTGCCTTAAACTCCTGGGCTCAAATGATCTTCCTGCCTCAGCCTCCCAAGTAGCTGGGACTACAGCACATGCCTCCACATCTGGCCCGGGACCATGTCTTGCACTATTTTGTAATCCTCACAAAGTCTAGTACATGCTTGGTTGATATGAAAAATTAGGAAATTCTAACACTATTACTCTAAGTATTAATACTATAATACAAGGACTGAAAGTGAGCAGAATATGCTGCTAGAGAGGTATGAGTTATTCCAAAGTAGAGATAAAATTATAATTTTTAAAACTCTCCAAAACTGACATACTGAGGGGAGGTGAAGAAAAGCCCGAGAAAGAGTTGGCCATGATGTAATCTGCGATCTGTTGCAATGCTAGTAATCCAGTTGGGTTGTGGCCCTTCTTCATCTGTTCTTGAATAAGGCATTCCAGGTCTTCCCGAAAGGCCTGTAATACACAAAAATAACCACTGAGCACATTTATCTCTCTTGGAGCAGAACGACCCAAATGTAATTTGCTCTGATACAATCAATCTTTCCCCCACCCCTCTTTTGAATAGCTTTTACCTATATTATTTAAAAACAAATATAAAAGATAAAATAATAAAATCAAAACATTGGAAGCAACAGCAAGAAGCTTGCTTTGGGGGATGAAAAATCATTAGGCATTCTTAATTTCAAAGAAAATGACACACTATAATATCTACACTAGACAGGTCTAGATAAAAACAACTTTTTAATATGCAACTCACACCAAATGTAAACTGCTGCAAAAGGAGACCCAGTCCTTGCTTAGCAGCCTCCATCTAAGTTAGGACAGAGTCCCTATTTAAATGAGGAACCACTCTGAATACAAAGTGACTCACAGTGAAAGTTTTCAACTAAGACATAATCATGGTTTCCATTTTATGATTTCCATGGCAATTTCTTAGCTCCATAAACTCTGAAAGCAAACTAAGAAGAGTTGAGGACTAATTACTCCCCTTCTGCAATACTATGCTAAAGAAATGACACTTTTTTTTCCAACTCTGGGTTCCGTAAGTTCCTATTCTGGGTTGAACTGTAACTTTTTGGGGGGAGTGGGGCAGAGGCAGAAACAGTGTTTACATAAATCAAAATCCTGAACATTAAAGGGACACCTCTATTCCAATAACCCTTGAGATATTAATATGATTCATGATCCGAAACTTCTCGCAATCCTTCACATTAGTTGAAATATTAATAGCTGGTTTTGGCTTTCCTTCACATCCAGCCAACACTTACTTCATTAAATTCATCATTTGTTCTCTTCTTGCTCATGTCTACTTCATTTATTTTAAAGATGAAGGCTTTTGCAATATAAATCACTTAACCTTTGCTCTTCCATTTGAGATTAGTTACATGTGTAGCAAGATGCTCTGCCAGAAATTAAATTCTTTTTTTTCCCCCCCTTCACCTAAGAGGGAGAAGGCAGAAAACTATTTTGGAATCACTGCCTCCAAGAAGGGTAGGAATAATCACCTTGGAGATTGCTGAGGAAACCTCCCTTAAAAGGGTGAATGTTTTGAGTTACTGACAGTAGCCTTCCTCATATGAGTGGGAATAAGAACTCCTGGAGTCCCTTCTTAGAGGATGGGTGAATTACCCAAAGGTCCAGGGACTTTTTAAAAAAATAATGGCACAGGAGCCCATGATGGGAAGGAGAAATGTAGTTCCAAGGCTATGAGTGGTTAGATGTTAGGACCATTCCTGACTCACTGCTTGTGTTGCTCTCAGAATAGGTTAGAAGTGTCTGATGTAAACTAAACAAATTGGGTGCTAATCTTGGCAGCTCAACCATGGGGGCACCATGAAACATGTTAATTGAGTTTAGTACAAGAAGAAGTTCATCCTTCCTTGATGCACCATGGCAGCCTGCACAGGCATCTGGGTCAACAGTGAGCCTATAGCTCCTGCTAGACAGTGTAAAACAGAAAGCACAGTGGCAGTGGTGGGCTGAATAGACTCTAGTGTCTCTCTCTCTCAAATACCTGGATGTATGGATACACAACCCACAGCACATGTTGGATAGGTAAGCCACTGATAAACCCATTTGGACTGTATAAGTCACTGAAGTTCTTGGGACAATTCATAGGAAAGTGAAAATTCCAAGAGGAAGATGCTGTACTTTATGCTAATAATGTAGGTGGATGTCTGACTAATCAAAAAAAACAAAATAACAAAAAACTAATTGTGACTATATTTGAATCTGAGTTCATGGAGCAGTTTACACCAGTTACATATGGCTTTTCTTTTACATTTAACAAGCCTTGAATTTATAAATCATTAGTACAATTATAAAAACTCAAAACATCTCATTTCATTGACTATATCTAGTTCATTTAAACATATGATTTAAACCAGAGAAACTGTCCTATAAAATATGTCTTTACAAAGATATATTTATCAGAAAACTCTATTAATACTCAAGATCCAGTGAACATAAAATGGTTGAGAGCTGTATATAAGATAGACAAATGTCTTCATACAGATGGGTAACATGAGTATATACCATGCTTAAAGCTGGAATGAAAAAGAACCTTCCAGATATCCTCTTTTATCTTTATGTAAACTACAGAAAACTTCTGGACACATGGCAATGGATCAATCTGCTTTTTTTGAAACTTTATCTTCCCTTCAAAACCAAACCACTTAAACTTTTCTCACTTCAAAGCAGCTATAATCAAAATATTCTTTGATTAAGTAAGAAAAAAAAAGATACCTACTATATGTCTCACTCATTACAGACATTGTAATAGCTCTGAGAAACAGGCATTATCTATTTTACTGAATGTGCTGCTCGCATGTTTTTCCAGGAAGAACTTAAGGCAGTTTCCATAGATTAAAATAATTACAAAATAAAATAAAATTAAAATAAATATAGGTAAGAAAAATAGAGCTAAAGAGAAAATAAGCATAAGGAAGGCAGCCATAGCCAAGAGTGAAGTTAAGATACAAAGTGAATATCTGTAAATTTATATGCATTTGCTAGAGATGGGCCAACTTTTATCTAACCTTTCTGACAGCCATATGAATCAAGACAAGCTGCTCAGTGTACTGATTTACAATGGCTTTAAGATTAAAAACCAACCAGTTGCTCAAGATAACTATTTATTAAACTGATGAGAAAGCTAAATAAGAAAGGTTGAAAACCTGTTCAAAGTCACAGAGCTGGTAAATGTCAGAGACAAGAACACAGGTCAAATGCTCTTTTTCCATTAGTGAAAATGCCTTTTCATTTCCACATACCCCACAATATGTGAGTATCATCCTAAAGCTTTGGGATATCTATGGTGTTATAGAGGGATGTATAAGCTCTCTGAAATCAATTAAGAATAAGAGGAAATATACGAATGCCCCTTTAAGATTGGTGAATAGCTTCTATGCAGTAAATTTTCAAAGTAAATGAAATCTCCCCAGCCTTTTTATATGGTTAATAGTGCTTTAACAGGTAAGAATTCTCGTGCAAAAGGTTTGTCATGAATGTTCATAACTCATCTTTTAACTCATATTTTAATGTTTCAAACGTTTTTCAAATATTGTTCAGATAATTATATGTCATAAAACAGTATAAAAATTACTAGTGATTAAAACGGTTTCAGCCGATTTTTAAAATTTATCTGTGAACATTAAGCTTCTATTAAAATAAAATTATTATTTTATTTTATAAATAATTATTTATTTATCTTTATGTGCAGTTAATCATATTCCTACTAAAGTTCAATGTTAATAAAACAATCCTTTATAGCTGATTTACTTGAGTCTCCCAACAAAGTCCTGAGATAGGCAACAACTTGTTCAAAGCTGTAAAGCTAATAAGTAAATGGAATGAAGACTCAAATCTGGAACTCTCAATTGGGCACAGGATCTTTTCCTAATTTTTTCAGAGCCGGATTATATCTCTGAAACCAAATACAACTAATAAGGCAGAAGGCATGTTGTGATCAGAAACGCTGAGTAAACCTCTTAGGCTAGATTAGAGCATTAGGTTGTAATGGTACATAAAGCAAAAAAATACACAGCAACAGATTACAGTGATTCTGGAGTCCCAGGCTAAGTACTTGCCCCTTTGAGCCAGGAATTCATCAAGTAATAATGAGAAACTAACTTATCATAAGCAGGGCAGCGAGGTCACATGCCAGGCATCTGAAGTCACATTAGCCAACAGATCCCCGGAGTCTCCACTAGAGAAGAGTCAGGTTAAAAGATCAAACTCCATATACACAAAACCACAGCATAAACCATGTCTTCCTTCTCAGATATAGAAGAGCAGAGAGGAGGAGGTAGTGGGAGCTGTTACATTTTGTGAAGATGAATAAGCCAGAGTGAAATCACAGTGACAGATACTTTATGACCTTCGAAAACCAAATTACAGTCTAAGGACTTATGATTATAATCTTCAAACTGTTGCCACACAAGCATAATGTGCTATAAATTAGCAATTTATATAATTTCCACAAAAATCATTGCTTATGTGCTGGGCACTGCACTACATGCTTTTATGTTATTTCAGTAAACTGTCACAATACCTACATGAGGTATTTTCCCCATTTTATCAAATAAGGAAATGGAAGCTCAAGTTAAGTGAGTTTCCTAATGTCTCATAGCTAATAAGTGGTGGGTGAAGCAAAGATTTGAACCTAGATCCAAAACAAGTACAAATATGTATAAAAAAATTTTGGAGCCAGGCACAGTGGCTCATGCTTGTAATCCCAGCCTCCCAGGAGGCTGAGGCAGGAGAATCACTTGAGTGCGTAAGTTCGAGGCTGCAGTGAGCTATGATTGCATCACTGCACTCCAGCCTAGGTGACAAAACAAGACTTTGTCTCTTAAAAAAAAAAATGTATCAACAAATTCAAACTGGAAATGATAAGAAAATGTACTAACCCCCAACTTAAGTGAAAACAGCTTGGTACTCCAACATTTCCATAATCTGCAGTTACGTAATTTTTTGGCTTTATCCTACCATTTATCTCATGCTCTGGTCTAGCCTATGAGGTTCATTCAGTATTGTCTGATGACAACTTGCACTCTCTATCCTTGATCATTCTACTTCATCTAATGCAAGTGCTGGCTTCCACCGGTCCTCTTCCTAATGAATTCTTACTCTTTATTCAACATTCATCTTAAATGGCACCTTCTCCTTGAAGTCCCTCTTCAGCACCCCAGTTCAAAGGGATCTCTACATTTCCTCTATTCCACCCCCCACTCTGAACTCAACATCTCCCTAAACTACAATTAGGGTACCTATCATATGATTGTGATTGTTGATATATTTTTGGTACTCTACTATATCATAATATCTGAAGACTGAAACTGTCATTTACATTTCTAGAGTCTTTGAGTGTCTAGTTCAGTGCTCAATTCATAAAATAGTAAGTTAGATTTTCTTTTTTCTTTTCATTAACTCAGTCAAGACTGAAGAATCTGATCTCAAACTTGACTGAGTTAATGATAGCAAAGATCCATTTCATAGGTTATTAGCCAGAAAACAGTTTTATTTTTTTATTTTTTTTTTTTATTTTTTTCTTTTTTGTTCCTTCTCTCCTTCCTTTACAAAACACAGAAAACAGTTTTATTACTCCATCACTTTAATGAGAAATTCCTCCTGTGTAAATTAAGTCTGTCAATCATCTACTGGGTGAAATTAATTTTCTTTAAATAAGAAATTCATCTTCATTGAATATTATAAATTTTTAAAAAGTCATTTAATTCTTCAACGCAAATAAAATCCTACTTGCAAATTTAGTTTGTCCCCAGAGCATTATAGTTTGGACAGCTCTTTCAAACACAGGTCCCAAAAGTATGATGGAAAAATAAACTAGGTGAAAAGCAAAACATTTAAGCTGGAGAGAGGGGTACCTTAAAAGTCTTATCTGAATCTCACACCCTTTTATTTTATACATTTCCTATCAATGTTGAGGGAGTGAGACCATAAACTGAATTTGTATGGTGTGGACAAAAATAAACTTCTAAAAACATGAAAGATTCAGAGATTTGAGATTCATGTCAGCTAAGAGTATACTTTAAGTTTACATACATTCCTGTATACTATAAACCAAAAGTAGAATTAACTTGTGATACCAGATCTTATGCCTCTGTATACAAGATCAGAACTTTCAGGAGAAACTGGCAATAGATGAAACATGTTTTAGGTCATAGAAAAGAAGACCAATTTGATAAAGGAAAATGACCTGATATAATTATTTCCGCTAATGCAAAAAAAAAGAAACCCCAAAAACCAAAACAAACAAACCAACAACAACAAAAAAAAAAAAAAAAGAAAGAAAGAAACTTAGGAAACTCAGGTAACAGAATACTGATAAACATCAGAGACATGAGAGATGGATTTTAAATATCCACATCTGGATGCTCTACCTCATAATAATTACTAGAGAGGAAAATTGGGGCAAAAAGGAAAAAAAAAAAAAAAGATTACAGACTTGCTGCTCCCAAGGCACCCTGCAATTATGCTATTAGATCTCTCCTAAAGTGGGATTAGGAGCATAACAAACTTACTTAGAATTTCTCCATTGAGAAATGTATTCATTTGGAAATAGAATATCACTGGTCCTGTTGAAAGGAGAAAAAACAAATAAACCAAATTTTCTTTTGGATGGCATCTCTCCTAAATCTAAGTCTTAACTAATATGAAGCTAAAGGTGAGAATAATATCTTTTCCCAAGCTGGTATACCATAAAAATGTAAACAAAGCTAATAAAAAATACTTAAATCTTAAACGTCCAAAGTAACTATATAGATCATGGTGTTTTTGATCAATTATTTTAATTAAGTCACTCTGCTAACATTTAGGGCTTAATTCTAGTGATATCCTAAATGCACATGGCTTTGAGGTTTCTCCTCCTTTCACTGTAACATATAGCATTAGACAGTGCCCTGTTATTAAAGAATGTTAGTATGTCCTGTGCCTGGGCTTACACCAACTAAACTCCTATTGTCCTATTTTTCAGTATAACATTGCACACTTGTGTCAACCAGTCTAAACTGCTTCCTATGGTGGCAAGACTTAAGAAGCCAACCATTTGCCATATGAAACAGTCAAGTTCAGTAAGAGATTGACATTCAAGTGTTTAATGTCTCCTAACCCAGCCAGCTATTCACATATGCATCCATGCATTCAGAACTTACTAAATATCTACTGTGTTCAATGTGCTATCTTCTAGTTTTTAACTTATATGTTTCATTAACTTTGATGAAGCATCACTTAATTCCACCAGTCTGTCCTTGACACTGCATTTTGAGAAAAAGGGGGTAAATTACAACCTAAAATCTCTATAGACATCACATATGAGGAGTGCATTGGTTAAAGAGAACTTGTGGATTCTCTCTATTACATTAACAAAATCTCAAGTAACGTTAGTTTACCCACTGGTATTTAATTTTTAAGATAAATATTTTCTTAAGAAAATTTAAATATGAAGAAAGGCTCTGACATTCCTAGAAAGAAGCAATAGTTGAGGGTCAGAATGAAACAAATACTTTATTCTCTTTTTTTCTCAGCTCAAAGTAGTAAGGTGCTATTTTTGTCACCCAAATTTACATTTACACCAAAATGTCTTATGATTGGAAATTCTTCTTGGGTTGGGTTAACTTGATCAAGAGAATGTGAAGATGAATAAAACAATAATATATGGATGGAATTTTTTTCATTGTTATTGAATGCCATAAGTGGTACAGATTAGTGGTTAAGAGTATGAGTTCTGGAGTTTAAATTCTTACCCCACCATTTAACTAAGCTGTAAAACCTTTGGCAAGTTATTTAATGTCTCTAAGTTTCTGTTTATTCATCTACAAACTAGGGATATTAATACTTCTTTAACTGAGTTGCTTTGAGGATTAAAGATTATCATACATACATAATAGGTGCCTGGCACATAATAAGTACTTAATTAAAAAGTATTATACTTTGCTTTTATTTCTCTCCTGATTTTCTTTCTTCCCAAATTAACTAAAAAATTTAAAGACAAGATTTATGCATTTGTTACTTACAAATATGAATTAGCAATATCTTTGATTGTGATCTTAATTGGTTATGGATTTTGTCTAACAGAGTGAAATGAACCCCAATATTCACAGGAGAACCATAAAATTTTTAAGAGAATTATATTGGCAGAAATACTGCAAGCTTAGGCTGAAAGGAACAGAGATAGTACAAGAGGAAAAAAGGCCTTTGGATCCCCAAAGCCCCTATAAGAAGAAAGCAGGCTGAGAAAAACACACAGTTGCCAACACAGGCTTTCATTCAGAGAAAATAAAGGATGATTTGGACAGTGGAACCAAGAACCCAGAGGGCAGCACCATGGAGAGTCACTCCTGGTAAGTAGGAGAACTGAGTACTCATCAAGGAACTTCCAAACATTTTACCCAGATGGATTTCACAATTGCGTTGGACCAATCACTCCTTTGTATCACCTACTATTATCCTTTTTAAACAGGAATGTCTGTAGCAGCTATCTTATACCTATCCTGCTACTGAGTGTGCGGGAAGCAGATAACTTCCCCTCTTTAGTTCACAGGTCAATAGACTGAACAGAACTTATTTGAGGAGCTGTACTTAAGTAACTACACCTTAATGAGGGTCATCTTTGGTCACCTGGACCAAATCCAGATGATGAGATTCTGGATTTGAGCTGGTATAATGTGGGATATGACTTTTAGGGAATGTTAGGAGAGTGCATGTGGAAAGAAGAAAAACGACTTGTGATTAAAGGCAGACTGCAGTGCTTTTAAAATAAAACTAGCTGGGTTCGGTAGTCCCAGTCATTTGAGAGGCTGAGGCAGGAGGACTGCTTGAGTGTATGAGTTTGAGGTTATAGTGTGCTGTGACACTTGTGAATGGCCACGGCATCCAGCCTGGGCAATACAGTGGGACTCCACCTCTAAAAAAAATAAATAAGTACTAAACTGAGACCAGAGAATGGACAATTCTTCCCTCAAAAGGTTGAGCTTAATTTCTCTCCCCTTGAGTATGGGCTGAACTTAGTGACTCACTTATAACTTATAAATATGGTAGAAGTGATGATGTGTGTGATGTCTGATATTAGGTCATAAGAAGCATTGCAGGCTGCTCTCTCTTGGATACTTGATCTGGGAGAAAATACTGAAGCAGCCTTTGAGCAGGGTCCACATGGCAAAGAACTGTGGCTTTTTGCCAAATGCCATGTGAATGATCCACCTTCTAAGAGCAGATTCTCTAGCTCCAGTCAAGTCTTCAGATGACAGTAGCCCTGGCTAATGTCTTAACTGTAACTTTGAGAGAACTTGAGCCAGAATCACTCAGCTAAGCTGCTCCTGAATTCCTAACCCATAGAAATGGTGAGATAATAAATGCTGTTGTTTTAAGTTACTAAGTTGTGGGATACTTTGTTATTTAGTGGTAGATAACTAATATTTAACACAAGCTACCATGTATCATTTCCTTTGGTGAAAAGTTTCTGTTATATTAAAAGAAATTTAAAAACCACTATCCTAAAATATAACAGGTTGACAAAATTTACACACTTTTCCAAGTCTTTCACAAATAAGATTTTAAATTCATTAGCAAAGAAAAAATTATCAATCCACAATTCTTTTAAGCCTCAGTTTCCTTTGTTCCTATCTGGACAGAAAATGATTATTCTTATTCAGTGAATAGGGAACTAACAATCTGTATGTCTGTCCTTTCCATTATTTCATTAAGTTTCCCAAGGTATAAGTAAAATTGGTATTTTTAAGCCAATTTACAAATGGAAATACATTTGTATTAAATATAAAATATTTAAATAATCTACTCAAAATTATGTTGTCTTTAGTTTAATGGATAAACTATAAAACAAAAACCCTGGAATGAAAATGTGGTTTAGTATTTTCATTAAAATTTTACAGTTATTTTGGTTTTCAGAGCACACTGGAAAAAAAAAATTTTACAGTTAGAATCAAATGGTCCCTCTTTGGAGCACTTCCCAAAGAAATCTCAAAATTTAACAACTGTGAACCAAATCTAAATTTCATCTCAAACTTTCAATTACTATATTCTATCTAGCACTACAATCATTTGGTTTATAAGTTAGTTCTTAAAAGTGGGGTTTCTTTAATGGAGGAAATAAATCTATTTTGATTCAAATAATGTGCCTTCAAGTATTCATAAACACAAAAACTCAAGTTTGCATAAAATAAGGCACTGAACATTTACACTCTCCTCATGACTTTTCTGGTTAATCTTTCCATTTGGAAAGGGTTTCTTTAAGTGCTATACTTTTAAAATTCCTCAAAGCTTGCATTGTTTTTATAACTTGTACTTCAATGCGTTCAACCAAGAGCACTGGTATGGGAGAGTGAGAATGGAATTGTCCCTCAGCTTTGGACTCAACCTCTGTGATTGAATTCATAAGGACACAACAAAAATGATTTACCAGGACTACTTCAGTCACCTCTATGCCTCCTTGGTACTTATTTTGGTACTCAAGTTGGAAACCTAATATATCCTTAACCTGGACATCATGTGTCTATGTGCTGAACATTCTGCCTTAAGGGGTGCATGACCTTCGTTATGCATGAAGTTATTAATTAATTTTGCACCTTAAATCAAGCTGTTCTCTCTTTTTCCATCACTTACATGTGACCTGGGCAATTCTAAGAGTTTGTAAGAAAACTAACAAATCACTTGAATATAATTCACAAAGTTTGAATACTGCTGTGCAGACAGAATTTTTAGCTTGAGCTAAATTTATAATCTCCTTTTTATTCAATTTGGTGTGTTTTCCCATATGTGTGCCTGCATTAAGTATATGTAACATTAGGCTGCCAAATTGTAGACTTCCTCAAAAACGTTAAATCTTCCTATGCTGCCCTGAATGTCAAGGTATCCAAATGCAGAAGAAAACATGTGCACAGGATATAAGTAACTTATTTGGTTCCTTGGTTTCTTGGTTCCTATGACTTATGTCTTTCTTTTCTTTACAGATATTCAGTCTGAAACAGGTATCCTTGAATTCAGTAAAATCTTTTGTCCTCCTTCAATGAAGCATTACACCCAGAAAATACACAAAAGAAAATTTAAACCACCAAACACAATACTAGTTTGTTATTAAAGGTTTACAAATCAAATATATCAATTAGGTGTCCATTTCTCCTTTGAAAGACTGGAAGTAACCGGTTGGTCACTCTTTCTCTAACCCTCGTTTAACCTGATGGTAGTTTAAGATACCTTCTGCCTCATTATATCAAGGTTTCCAAAAAGGAAGAAAAATTATAGCCTTCTAATTATTTAAACTCACAGGACTTTGCAGGATCTGAGTAACTCGCTTTCTCTGTTCCATCATATTGAAGTCTTGTCGTAGATCAGGAGACATGTTCCTCTCTCTAATGTATTCTGGGTCATTTTCATTGATGCGGTCAAAATATCTTTCTTTGTGAGGCATGCTGGGAGGAGGAGGAGTGGTAATCACGTCTTGGCTGGCATCTGAACTCATGTTTCAAGTCTGTGGATTGCCCTTGTTATCTGCAATTAATAAACACAAAGAAAGGAGGACATTCCGTAACAAATTCATTATTAAATTCAAATTTTACATGGGTCAATCAACTTTTTAATTTTGCTCGCAGAATAAGAGTTGCAACTTTCTTTAAAAAGTAGCTTCTCAAAAAAATTAGAGCAATTTTTATCCCTGTAAAAGTATTTTAGATTATAATGCTAAGTTGGAAATATTTGCAGAGCTAATGAAAACTTATAGTTCAATCATGTTAATGTCATCAACAGCCTTTTTAAGGAAGCAACAATCAAAACATCCAAAAGTAAAATGTCACATATAGATGGCGAATTTTCACAATTAATGAATACTGGCAGTGGATCTTCACCTTTCTTATTCATGCTCACATGTTAGACTAAATAAATTTTGACCATATTTAATGACCACTATATTCCATAAGAAATGTAATTTACCAACATATGTGAGAAACTCAACTAAATTTTTCAAATGATTCAACAACTTCCTAGGGAAAATGTAACAACTGTTGAGGATGCCAGACTATGCAACTTTAGCAGATGGTACTTCAACTCCAAGTAAAAAACCAAAAAGTTATTCAGAAGCCACACGAAAAGCCATGATTCACTTAATTATCATGATTATTACTGATACTTAGGATAATCCTTGATTTTATGCCAGGGAAACAAATTCATCTGAGCTTTGCTACAGCTGAGCACCTAATCAACTATAGCTAGATCAGCGAGACAGTCATTTAACTTTCCCCACCAACCCCAACTGTGATTGGATGTCTTAGAAGTTGATGAAATTATCTAGCTCAGTGTTTATATTAAATTGTCTATGACAAAAGATTTTTTCCAATCTGTAATGGACCAATATTTTTGTAAAATACAAAATAATGCACTTAAATGTATGGCAACATAAAATTGTAAGAAAAGTTTGTAAACACTTATTGTCATATTCTGTACTTGTCACAGACTGGTAATAGTCTGCAGACTGGCACTGGACACTGGACCCCACACTTTGAGTAGCGCAGACCTACCAAATAGTAACAGCACTGCCAACTAAAGGAATGCTTCCTCCCACCTTTAAATGTGACATGGTATAAGCCTTAATCAAGAGAAAAGGAGACCACTGATTATTGTATCCCTTTCTCTAGTTGTTCTTTGGAACTGGGCGTAAAAAATACAAGATATGAAGCAAGGAGGAAGAAAAGGAAACAAAATTGTTAAGATGGCTTTGTTTAAAACATGCTTCTCTCTAGGTGGTGACTTTGTTCAAGCAACCTATTGAATATTAACAACTGGGAAACAGAAAAACCATCTAACTACAAAAAGGTATTTATTCAACTGACTACCTGATGGGGAGAAACATTTCATAATAATGGAAGTTAAATGTAAAACATTCAAGATTATTTTTCCATAATATAGAAAACTAAATGCAAGGGGTGGCGGGGCTGGGGGGTAATTTCTGGGGACCTGCAACTCTGCAAATTCTTTGGAGCCTCAGAGTCTCAGCACGATACTTTTCTAGACAGATCCAGAAGGGAACAGGCAAAAGCTACCCTCTTTCTCAGGGTCCTGAATTCTGGAAAGTGCCCAGAGATAACTGCTCTCATCTTTTAAACACAGTAATAACCAGTGAGGTTACTGTATTTGTTTCTAATAACAGACTTCACCAACAGAAATTCAGAAGTCCAGAGAATTCATTACTTTGACTCAACTTAATCTAAACAAACAAATTGTAAGACTAACAACAACAACAAAAAAATCCAAAACTTGTACTATTAATTCAGGTCCTGGAAATGTAAACTCATTCTGTCAAAAATAATTTCTGGAAAATACATTAAAACTCTATGGTGAAAAACATTTAAAATTAGCCAGCTGGATTCAGTTCAGATGATCCTAATTGTGTTGGTAACATCCAAAGCATCATGGTCAAGAGCCTGTCCAATAGGTGCCTTCTTCCCTCCATCAGGCCTGAACAGGGTATTGACTTTGGCCACATCAATGTCACAGAGCTTCTTCACAGCCTATTTAAGCTGGTGCCTGCTGGCCTTGACATCTACAAAGAACATGTGTGTTGTGGTCTTCCACCTTCTTCACGACCAACTCAGTGGCCAGGGGAAACTTGATGGCAGAGTGGTCAAGCTTGTTTCTCCTGGGGACACTCTTCCGAGGATATCTGAGCTGCCTTAAGAGCCACAGTGTCTTGGGACACCAGAAGATGGGTGACATGTAGATCTTTCATTTAGTGGCTGTGGATGACTTCCAGCACTGCTCTCTTGGACGTCAAAGCCTTTGCTTTGGCTTCTGCTTTGGGAGGGTCTGGGACTGCCCTTTTCACTTGGTGAAATGGGCCCTTGAAGTAACTCTTCATGATGAATACATTTTTAGAAGAGTAAAGAGGCAGAAGAAACCTAATCATCCATTTTATTTTCTTTTTCATCCATTTTAATAATAAATGACCCATTATGTAAGTATAACACTTTATAGTTTATGCCATGCTCTTACACTTTTTAATCTTATTTTATCTTTGCAACTACATAATGAGATGGAGTTTGATAAACTGGAGGTTCAGTGGATTAAACATCTTGCCAAAACTCACACTGCTTAAATCATAGGCACTGTCCAAAGCCACAATTTCTGTCTCCTATACCACTTTCCATGGCACTTATACTATTTCACATAACTTAAAACAAAAGAGCACTATAGATTTAAGACTTTTAGTCTATATTCTGTCATGAATATTAAACAATTAGAGCTTATAAAACTTTACAGAGAATGAAGAAATGACACTTAAAAAAGGGAAAACAGATCAGAAATGACTCAAAGGCCGGGCGCTGTGGCTCACGCCTGTAATCCTAGCTCTCTGGGAGGCCGAGGCGGGTGGATCGTTGGAGCTCAGAAGTTCAAGACCAGCCTGAGCAAGAGCCGAGACCCCGTCTCTACTAAAAATAAAAAAAAAAACAAAAAACGTTAATTGGCCAACTGAAAATGGAAAAAAAAAAATAAAGGAATAAAAAAAAAATTAAAAAAAAAAAAAAAAAAAAGAAATGACTCAAAACACTCTAACCTTTTTAAAGCTCCAAAAGCCCATTATTTAAGAAGGCTTTTTTAATACAAGAAGTTTCAAAGTTTTGTCTACTTGGAATAAACATTGGGAATTTATATTAAGCATTTACAAGAATATGAATAGCAGCTCGTCACTTAGGTGCTCTTCTATACTTAGATGCTGAACAACAGGAGTTTTACATAGAACTTCAACCAACCATAAGCACAAATGAGTATTTGCAATTTTATGCATCGACTACTGTAAACTGAACTGCTATACTTCAAGCCTTGAGAAAATTTAGGACCCACAAGATTATCTGAACATAAACAGAATTCAGAAAAAATATGAAGTGAAATGAATCACAAATATGTACAGTTACCCACAGGACACCCCAATCACCAAATACATTTCTGGCAGATTATGCTACCAGTGAAGAATATGAGAGAATTTTTACTCAACCTAACAAATTAGCTTATACCATATAAAAATAAGTGATTCCTCTGCTTAAGAGAAAAATTCTTAAATCAGTCTGAAATATGATAAATGGGACAGCATGCAGAGTACTCACAGTAAAATATTAATAATTTGCTATAGATGAATATGTATCAGGGCCCCCCCCATCCACAAATATTTATTGAGCATTTACTACAGGCCAGGCCTTATGCTATAGGTATAAATGGAATGTTGACCTAAATCCTTCTGGAAAGTCAGAGGCTAGAGAAACCCATAAAAACGATTCAACCTATCATAAGGGAGTTTCCCAAAAGACATCATCTTCTCACACTGGGGAAGGTACACACCTGAGGAAATGACAATGTGTCAAGGAGCACAGTTAGCAACAGGATAAACATAGCATATCATATAGAACAAATATTGCTTAAAGATTTGGTGTTGAAATTTTAAGTAGTCCTATTGGTAAGTTAAATCATTTTAATAAATTATCTTTGTAATTAAAAGTCACAGGCTTCTTATAAAGAACAGGCGAATTTCATGTTTGCTTCAAAGGCGACACAAGCTTACAGACAGACCTACGTGGCAAGCAAAGCAGTTATTTCTCGTCATTTCTTAGCAGGCTGTACAATAATCAAGTGTCTGAAGAACTGAGTCTCCAAAGTGAAACTTCAAAGAGGTATCAGCGATCATTATTTCTTAATGTATAGATTTACTATCTTCTGCATTAAAAAGTTTATACAGAGGTCTAATAGTATTTTGCAATGAAATTCAATTGTTTCAATAATACTATAAAAATCAAGCCTATGTCACATACTAATGTTAAAATTCTTTTCTGGGAGACGGGGGTGGGGAGACTAAGAACACAGCATTAACGATAGGCCCCTAAAGCTAGCACCTAAGTGACTTTTTAAAAATAAACAGTTTGCTCCTCAAGCTAGTTTCAGGACTAAGATTTTTTGGTCCTTGAGCTTGAATAAATTCAACAAAAACTCTAATAACTCATAAGAAGTATATGCAAAATGGTCCCGGTTTTATTAATCGAAAGTTGGTTTTTCCCAAGTTGTGTCCCAAGATTCTGAGTCAAAGTAATATAGAAAATAACATGAGTTCATTTAAAACAGGTGTGAAAATTTCTGCAGGCCTCTTCACATCGTCTTGCTGAACTACAGCCTATATTTTTATCCCAACAAGAGTTATTCTTGAATTCCATCTTTTTAAGTTTGATCTGATCACATCTTTCTCTTTCTTAAAATCTTAAATGGCTTCCTGTCATCCAAGGGATAAAACTCTTCAATGTTTACTAGTTTATCTTTCTATCATCACCTCAGTGTTTCCTTCACAGAGAATATAATTGCTTTATCTATGATAGGAACATGCAAGGCTAAGCTTTTTGTAATAAAAAGAAAATCCCAGTGAAACCCATTCAACTATTCCAAAACGCTCCGTTAAAAATTCTTTCCCTTTTCTTCAAAACTTCTGCATACATACAGAAATTCTAGTGATTCTCCAAAAG